GAAGTGCTATAAATGAGTCTCCTTCATCGCTAATTGTAGCTCTCGCTCGTCTTCAGGTGCATTCAAATCAGTTAAGGATGTGGTCTAAATATATTTGTTCGCGCTTTGTGTGTTTGGTTGGAGGTAAAGGAGACAATGCCCTTGTTACATCACCAAGCCACGTGACCTTTCCTTGTCCTTCGTCAATGTCAAGGCTTGTGTTTCTCCCTTGCTCGCGCCTTTAAAAGTAAGAGCGGCCAATCAGTTTCCTTCGTCTGAGACCTCACATTCCGTCGAGTACGAAACCGCAGTGCGCCGACAATAAACCCAAACCGCCTACCGAACCGAAACAGAAACAGAAACAGGGCGATCAAGATGATATTTCTTCCATTCCTCATATTCGCCACCTCATCCGCGCACATGATGCTCAAGACGCCGGTGCGCTACAACTTTGACGACTTTGACAACTTCCCCCTCGACGCGGGAGGAACGAACTTTCCCTGTAAAATCGCGGCTGGACAATATCGACAAGGAGAGGAGGCGAGGAAAGAAAACGTTTTCAGGGCGGGAGAGAACCAAACTCTTTCGTTCACGGGATCGGCGGTCCATGGTGGCGGTAGTTGCCAGATCAGTTTGACCACGGATGAGTTTCCGGATAAGAAGACGCAGTGGAGCGTTATACATTCTATCCTGGGAGAGTGTCCGAGTAATGCTCCTGGTAACTTGCCGGATGATGCTTTTGGAAACGGTGCGTTTTTCTTCTTTTGTTTGGAGGGAATGGACTGAGAGATCAGTAGGTGCGGATAAGTTCCAGTTTCAGATCCCAAAGAGCGTTCCTTCTGGTAATTATACTCTTGCTTGGACCTGGTTCAATAAAATCGGGAACCGTGAGATGTGAGCTATTTCCATAGCTTAGCTTCGATGAAGATGTGACACTCGAAACAGGTATATGAACTGTGCACCCATCACTGTTACAGATGGAGGGGACGGCAATGAAGAGTTTCCAGAGATGTTCATCGCGAATCTAGGTTTGTTATCCCTTCTTCAATGCCTGAAATTCTCACAGACTCTTTAGATCCTCGACTTGTACCAGGGAATGTTGATTCATGTACCAGCTGCTGCCAGACCATCGAGCCTACGAACTTGAAGTTCCCCGACCCTGGAGACTACGTCGATCAGCGCACATCTGACCTAAGCGATGCCAAAGGATCTTGTCCCACGACGAAGAGAAAGAAGATTTCCGGCCTGGCTGCCGTTGATTCTACTTCCGGGACTTCAGCTTCGACCACAGGCGAGACGTCCACCGCAACGGCGTCAGCGTCACAATCTGTGGCATCCGCCGTCACGGGAACAACTACGGCCTCTTCTGCCTCTGCTTCAGAAACTTCCACGTCCACCGTCGACAGCACTTCCTCTAACACCACACAACCACTCCTCAGCAACGGGTGTGCACCGGCTAACCTCTTCAATTGCCTCGGCACCTCATTTCAACGATGTACAGAAGAACTTCAGTGGACGGGAGAGCTGGAACTGCCTGCTGGGCTAAGTTGTCCTCCTGGATTGGGGATGAACATGGTTCTCTCGCCTTCTAGTGCCTCTGCGAGGCTGAAGAGAATGCATAAGCGCAGGACGAGGAGATTGAGCAGGCTTTTGTAATTTTTAGCATCAATCTGATTGTAACAGTGCTTCGTGTCCTTTGTCCTGAGCATTTAGTAGCATCGTTTCGTATAGCTCTGCATTGTAACTATTCCGTCGTTAGTCGTTTGCAATGATCGAAGCTATCCTTCTGAAGGTCCTATCATAACTGTCTGCCTTATTTTCTATGCACTGGGCAACACGTGAAAGGAACCAAAATGAAAATGACAAAACGACCGCCACCCTGCGCTGTTTGTAATACCAATCCTTCGAAGTACAAATGCCCTACAGATTTGACACGATAGTACGCCATGCTTTACTTTTGAGCATATCTGAAGGAGGTTTTGCAGTTGTTCCGCCGCTTGCTTCAAAATTCATAGCGGTGAGTCTCCTACGCGTTTAGAGCATCAACTCAACAAAGTCAACCTAGCGAACGCGGATCACCTACCTATTCCTCCTCCACAGGTTGTGTCAACTTCGAAAGCTAAAGATGAGCAGCCGACAATCGCATTGGACGAGTTGGTTTATCCCCCCGACCCTCCTGAACAACTCTTTACAGACCCATTGAACAAGAATGAGTACAAAGGATTACGAAATGGAACTGGGAAGGAGTGGGAGGCCATAGGTACATTTAACTCCCCAAGTTTTGAGCATCAGCCTGACTGAAGCTGTCGACAGTTACCTCTCCAAAGCTTCGAAGTTTGCTGCATGAGGACCCAGCAAAGTTTGGCGAACTACCACTCAAGCTCCTTCTCAACAGGATAGCTTCTCTCCCAGACGAACAAAGCAAAACGGATGTGTTGAGAGAGATTTTGGGAGCGCCAAACAGTGATTTATCCCTTGGAAAGAAGCGAAAAAAGGAAACAACAACGATGGAGTGGTTGGATGAGGATCATAAGAGGGTGTTGGAATTCTTGGATGTCGTGAAAAGTACGTTGGCGGAGACTCGAGAGAAAAATGCTTGAAATGGATACTATAGCATTCCTTCAATTTAGCCCGAGAAATGTACACGGCATCCAAAGGTATTTGTGTTCAGCATTCAGTAATAACGACCTCAGCTTCGTCGACAGAGTACCCCTTCTCATCCTTTCTGATCTCAGGAGTCTTCAGCTCCACCTTGACCTTCACAATCTCAACCGTGTGTTCATCCACATTGACTTCCTGTAAATCGTCCCACTCCTCGATTTGCTCGCCATCAAAATACCATGTAACAGAATATGTAACGTCCTGCTCTTTGGGGAACGATACAAGAGTGAGGGATATGATGTCTGACTCGCAGTCGTAGGAAATGTCGTCAATCAGAGAAACACGGGAGAGGATGGAGAGCCATAGCCCTTCTTTGCAGACTGTGCAAAAGTCGGTGGACGTGACTTGACGCATAAGACAATCTTCATTGGTTGGACGATAGCTTGTTTCGTTGTAGAACTATACAAGACGTGAGCTTTCTTAAAGAAACAAGAAATCACGGACAGAATAGGTTGGGTAGAGGCCGTAGTGTCCAGGGGTCTTTACGAATCTTCAAGCCAAGTCATTAGGTCCACGCTCACAAAATAGGAATGAGATTCATACTCATCTTCATTCCCATATTCGAGCATCTCAACGCTGCACATCTGCGTCTCTCCTTCCCACTCTCCGTTCTTCAGCTCATATACGATGTCGTGCCATCCCTCTTGCAAAGCTTCTCCCTCGATCTCATACCACCATCTATCCTTCCCTATGTCTGGTACGACCTCAAAATCCACTTCCTTCCCATCTAGTCGCACGCTAACCCAATCTCTTACTGGAAAAGCAGAGATGCTGAACCTGAGCAAGCTCGAATCAAAGGTTCCAGTGCTGTAAAATCGGGTGCTCCATGCCTTGGTCGTGTTCAGGATGGTCCAAGCGTAGTCCTGCAAGGGCATGTTTGACCGTTCCACTCGGTCTGTCGATTCCGCAGTGTACCAATGCTTCCATGGAGTCGTAATCGAGGTGTTGTGGTGTGCGTTGACACCAAAGTATGCCCATCCCCCGTCGTATTCCTCCCCAACGGGGATGACGGAGTGGCCAAGCTCATGTCGCAGAATGAGCTTACCGTTGAAGGGTGAAGCCGTGATCGTTCTGTCCTCCTTGTTTTAGCTGAGATAAACTCAAGAATTCGGAATACGAACGTGAACTCCCCTCCCAAGCCTTTCAAAGTATTCTCTTAGTGAACAACTTGAGAAAACACCACTTACCTCCATAAAGTGGGTCATTGCCTGCCATCCAACGTTTAGCGAACAGGAACAGTGCGAACGGAAATATCAGCGACGCACCAAGAAGAATAGGTTGATCGCACGCATCCCCTAACAGCGCACAAGCTTTTCGAGGCCTTTCTGGATGAGCGTACATAACACCTCTAAGTTCCGTTCCTGGCCTGTATAGACCTGCCCATGTGTCCTTCGGCTTGCCATCAACACCAATACCTCGCTAGGAGAATGCTCCTCATGTTAGAAATGACAGTGATAAAGTAAAACGTCTACTGACCTCGTTTGAAGCAATAAAGGCAGCCCAGAAGTTGCTCAGGGGTGCGACTGCAGCGAAGGTCTGGTTGACGGCTATTTCGAGCGTAAGGTTCCTTGCATCAGCAATAAATTTATCCTTGTCATCTTTCGTATCTATGCTCCCTTTCAGTTTATGAGAAGAAACGAAGATAAATATATACAGCCGTCGGCAAAGTAAACAAAGTCGAAGCGGTTGCCTGGAGGACCAGATACGAGGAGCGGGATCAGCTCGACTTTATCCTCTTCTTCTTCATCCAGATTGAGGAGTCCTGTCGTTTCTTGCTGTATCACAAGGTTCGCGGCATCCTTTTCTTTATGAAGTGCAGGATGGACGATCATCCCCTCCTTCACCTGGAGATCAACAAAAGCTTCTCCGCACTCCTTCCTCGCTACATTCCACAGCACTTCTTCCTCTCGAGCATATATCACGATCCTCTCCCCGCCGGATAGAGAGAGAGAAGGGTTATCCTTATCATGATATACGAAAGAACGCTCAATGACGTATTCATCGTTTCGGAGTGATTTGTGACCTTGAGCTGGGGTAAGAGAGGTTGGCTCGCAGGAATGCAGCACCAGCTTCAGCGCTGAAGGGAGGATGAGCAGTGGCGTCAAATGCATCGTTCTCTTGCTATCCGTTCGCTACAGCTGTCTGTCGAGGAGCGAGAGATAGTTTTTGTACGACGCGTGGTGATCCAACAATTTCAAAGCATTTTGCAATCATGTTCGTGCCCGGCCGACGGATACGCCTGCACACGGTGCCTGCCATCTGAAATGTCTGATAATGATATAACACAATTTGAAGGATACCCAGACGAAGAAGAAGAGAGGAACAAAAAACACAGGCGAGAAATCAAGCGCCAAAAAGTATGAATACTGCGGGAGTCGAACCCACGACTACACCTTGGAAGGGTGTTATGATACCGTTCCACCAAGTATCCCGTTCTATGAAAAGGAGTCCCTTAAACAATCTATAATAAAACGTTCTACTAGCCGAAGTGAACAATGTTTTTTATTATCAGCTTGATGAAGAAAACCGTCACGAAGAACACATGGATATAGGAGATGATTAATATGATTGGTAGCATTGAGTGGGGCTTTGCTAGATTTACATGGCATTGTACGGTGAGTGGAATTTCCAAGTTTTTTCATCAGTTCGTGGACTGGAAGTGATGGTGTTAAGTATCTCGACATCGAGACTTTGACTGATGTTCTGGCTAACATGGGTGAATCATTCAAACCGTTTCGCGGCGTCATCGCGGTATTTTCTTCAGTGCAGACGTCGCTCGTCACTTCGGTGTAGTTCAAGTTATCCTAGTCGCAATTTTCGTTCATTCCAATGGCAAACTTTCATGCCAGCATCTATTGCGCGAAGCAACATTGAAGTCAGCAACAATCTATGCTTTGATTTCCAACCAGAATCGGTGTCCCTTCACTTTCTGCACAGATCTGGACAGTTGCAATACAAACCATTTTCAGTATTCTACCACGCTACGAAGCTGCGTATGTGGGAAGTTAGTGTCAGTTGTTGCCGCATTGAAGCTTCATTCTGCAAACAATCATTTCCGTACAAATGTGGGTGACTTTTCCCCCCCAGTATTGAGCTTAACCACCCAGTTGATTTCCTCAAACGCGCTAGCATGCTTCTTGTACTCCCGGGGAGTCTCGTTCAACAATCCAGAAATGACCGTACCCGCCCACCAGGGGGACAGACCGAAACGGTCAACCGAACGAGAACCCACCCAACGAATTGATTCAAAGTGACCCGCTCGAAATCTCCACTCCAGACGGTTTTGATCAGGTATATCGTTTGCCTCGCCAAAGAAGTGACATTTCACGGTCCATTCTTCGTCCAACAGGCCGTGCAAGGCATCTACCTCTTGTTTGGTGTAAAATTCTGGAAAGGCGGCGGCTAGTAGAACCCGGCGCACTCTTCGCGACCCCAGAATGGGCACGCCATCACGTCGCTCCCAAATCGCACCTGTCACTTAATGAGTGTGGAATAGCGGCCTGTGCATGCTTACATTTCGTGCTCTCTGCCTTTGGAAATTTGAGATACCTTTCCGCTTCACTCTCCTCCTAGGAGCTAAATCAGTTCTGTTGTATTTGCGATTAAGGAACCTACCTTGTGGCTCATAAGACTTGATCGCGTTTTTCTCTGGCTGCTCTCATACTGATCCTTCCAGTGATAATTTGTACCAGTTTGCTTGGGAGAGGTTTTAACCATGATCAATATTTCAATGCTGGATTGCCAACTGTCCCGCCCTCTTGATGGCGTATATATATGCCATTCTAATGGAATTGGTGACGAGCAAACGTATCTAAAATGACACTTTGATGCTGGCTGTTTCTGAACTCTCGCATCACATAAAATGCGGCAATGAGTCACTATTTGGATATCACGTGACCAGAAACCGGCATACCATTCTTGCTACTCAGCCTGCTCCACTGGCGGAAAAGCCTTAAAAGATCCAGGTTTCATATAGTTCGTAGAAGTACATGAAATCACGAACATCCACACTTTATTTATCATCAGCGTTTTATTTATCATCAGCGAATGGACCGTAACCGTCACATCATGTAATCAAACATAAGAAGGTCTCAAAAGCAAAGCTGCTTCAACCCCATCTTCCTAAGCCTGGGAAAGCACGGATGTTTCGTTGTATTATTCTTCGTGCTTCAATGGCAAAATGAATGTTGTGCGTGAGCAGAAGAACCCCTACTTACGATGTAAATTACTTCGTGGCCTTTCCACACCATAAATGGGTTCCACGCCATCCCGAAAGCCATACTCGTCTCCTTCGGACGGATCCGCTGCCCTTTGAGCTCGCTCCTTTGCTCTAACACGGTCCTGTAACTGTTCGTCGTAAGGACTGCCCCTCGGCCTTGGAAATGTCGAAGAAGTCCAAGGATACAGTGCAGCGTCGACAGCTTCATAATGTGGATGTAAATTTGGATCGTGCACCTCGCCATCAGGCAAGGTAATCACAGCTTTACGCGCAACCCTATGAAAGGTATGATGATAAGCAATGTTAAAGAACCATGCATGTGCGAACCAACCATCGTTTAGACTTGGTAAGCCTGCTTGAGTAAAGGGGATGCAAGTTGACCCAAGGCATTTTGATTCTTTGGTATTCGGTCTTTGAAGGATTTGTTGGGTAGCTCCCCGGCGAATCTAACTTTTTCGAAACAAGTCTTTTTGATGGAGCCAATCTCAGCTAGAGCAGGCTTTTTAAGCTCAGCTCTCCGCTTGAGACTGCTTTGTACGCAGCAGTGTCCAGCAAATAATGCCAGTCAAGATGTCTTCCAGTGCAACGGAGCTGACCGACCTCAAGATCCCTTTGTACCACAAGGACCTTGTAACTTGTCACTTTGTGGGAACTGAAATGGGTTGCTTCATTCAAATTATTTAAGCTGTCAACATCCTTTATTGAATCAAGGCCCTTGTACTTTGTCACCCTGTACGCAAAAGTTGAATTGGGTGGTCTCTTAAGATCTCTGTTTCTTCCCAGCTCTCTGTCACTGTGCTTCTGTTGATTTCAGATGAGGCAAGCATGCAGACCCTTGAGAATTGTCTGTGCAACTACATTGTATGACCGTTCGATGACAGGCGACGATAGCTAATCATAATTCATCTTTCATATGAAACATAAAAGAAGCTCTACCGAGTCCAGGTGTGTGCGATGATGCTCTACATCTAAGCTACTGGAGAAAAGACGGCCTACTGTGACCGCAGCCATCATTGCTCCTTCCCTAGCATGCATACTCAACAGAGAGGGCAAGACCATGTTCTGATTTTGGGTTCCGTCCTTGACCTGATCTACCCGTAAGGGTTATTAAGCAGAAAAACGCTATAACAACGCTATGAGCGGCAGGCAGGTTGAGCAAGTCTGTGTCTTCAGCATCGCAAGGAACACTACTAGCGACCAGGCGACCCCGCATGACGAAATTCAAAGTCTGGTTGAAGGAGTTGTCATCAGCGTCACGTGACCATCAGTGCTAGGTTCAAATTGATTCTGTTTCTCGTCGACATCGCATTGCTCTCGCCACCGTAGAGCAGGGCGCTAGAAGCCAAAAAGCCAAAGTCTGGAACGTGAAAATCCCAGGAAATATTCTGTCAATTCTCCCTGTGGGGAAAAGTCTAGAAACTTCCACATTGTTCATGTTCATGACATGTTTTACGCTGGCTGACATGCTGACGTCTCGTGGCGCAATAATACTTCTAGAATTTACCAGAGCTCTACTGGAACTGTCGAAGGTATATAAACGGGTCCTTCTGTGGTGTTGCCCACCATCCTACAATCAAGCGAAGAGCCGAATAACCACCAACTACAAGCAACAACTCAGCCAACCATGTCGCTCATCCAAAACCTCTTCCCTGAGCTGCGTCGCTCTCCCTTCTACAACCGAGCATTCGAATTCCCCGAGTTATCGCAGCTGTCTCAACTACCGAGACCTGCGATTGATGTTCATGAAGAAGGAGACAAATACGTCGTTCAAGCCGAAGTTGCTGGAGCTCGAAAGGAAGACCTAAAGCTCGAATTCGGTGGTGATGGTGGAGAGGTCCTGACGCTTAGCGGGAAGATCGTGAAGACGAAGGAATTCAAGCCTGAAGAGGTAAAGGAAGGAGCGGGGAATGAGAAGGCGGTGGAGAAGCCAAATACGAATATCTGGCATTCCGAACGCTTCGAGGGATCTTTTGCCAGATCAGTGAGGTTCCCAACGCCTGTCGATACGGATAAAGTGTCTGCGAAGTATGAGAACGGCATTTTGGAGGTGGAGGTGCCAAAGAGGATGAAGAAGGAAGGTTCAAGGAGTATCCAGATTGCTTAAGTGCGTTCAACTTCTCGTGCTGTTGAAGTTGTACTAATTCCTTTTCTCAGGTTTGGATTCCAAATAGTCGAACAAACTCGGAATTTCTCTATTTCTTCCAGTTCAGATGTCAATGTTCAGTATAACATGTAACCAGTAACCAGTCGAACACACGCAGCCTCTGAATGATAATGGTATATGTAACTTGTATCGACAGCTACCATATGTAACTTGTATCGATAGCTCGCTCAAAGTGTCAATGATGGATGACGTGCGGTCATGACATTTTGATCTATGTACATACAAAGCGCGCGTGAGAAACGATAGCTAGGTTCGTGTAAGGAAGAGGTTAAATGCAGAATGAGCCATCTGGAGACACTACTCTCCCGCCGTAGCAACTTTGCACAAGGCAATGGCCCTGTGAACACAAAACTGCATCCACAAATGGAATTTCAGTACTGTGGAGTCATGTTAATTGGTCTGCGAGAACGAAGGATGGACGCACCAATCAACAACCGTCGTCGAACCCGGACATCCCCCACAACTCTCAACATTGCGCATTATATCGACACACTGTCTTTTGAGTTAGGAGAGTGTTTATTCAAAGAGGGATAGACTAACCTCGTAAGAGAGGGTAGGGGTCCAAGCCCCTGTCTTACTCTTCTTCTTCACATTCTCTCTGGCTGAAGCTCCCAATCCGAACCTTGGGCAGGAAACGAGACCAGTTGAGCATCGATTGGCGCTATAAGCTTTCGCAGGATGAGCATAAAGATAGCTCTGCAATCCGAAGTCCCGAGCTCTTCGTCTTGCAAGCTGAGATGGACCTGCAGGCGGAGCTTCATCCGCACAGAGGTAATCGTTTGAGCAGAAACCTGAATAATGGAGTGAGATTCACCGCGATTTCTGAGGGAACTATCTGACCAGATGTGCAAACGCCGTCACTGGCGCAAGGAGTCCCGTTTGGCATTCCACTTGTTGGCACAGAGGCACAAGTACCGTCCGAGTTCAGCTTTTCTAATCCCGAAATCCGTCTATACGTGGGTGAAGGTCGAGTAAGGACGTACGGGAAGTGCAGCTGTCTTCCTCATACACCGCCAAGGCTCCGGGTCCACCACAAGTTGAATCAGTG